TTGTTTTTGAGACAGGGTTTCTCTGTGTAATGGCCCTGGCTGTCCTGGACTCACTTTGTAGACCAGGCTGGCCTCAAACTCACAGAGATCCTCCTGCCACTGCCTCTGGGTACTGGGATTAAAGGCGTGCACCATCACACCTAGCCTTGTAAATTAAAGTTTTCATATTTTTTTGTTTTTATATTTTTAGAACATGATTAAAGCTATGTAGTTTTCTCTTACCTGCATTCATTGTTTATCTAGAAGTTTTTTGCATATATTTTAATACAAAAGCAAGATTCACATCTTTAAATTTAATCATCAGAATAATTGGCTTGTTCTGTTAAATTAATAAGTGAAAAAAGATTCTGAAAGATCTTATAATTAAAACCAAAACTTTTGAAGATACTTTTCCAAATAAAAAGCACTGTTTTTCCATGAGCATGCTTAGAAAGTGTGCCTCTAAGATTTAAACCCTCCTTTCACAAGACTAAACATTTTTTGGCATGGTTAGCATTCCATCTGTTACATTGAGGTGTTCTTTAATATTCTTCTAGCACTTACATTTTGAAAATGTTAGTTGAAAACAGTAAACTTTAGAGTGAAAATGAAAAAAATAGCTAAATAATGTTATCAAGTTTCTTCTTTACCACCACTACCACCAATTTGCTGTCATTTTTGATAGTCATGGTAAAGGAGCCGAGAAGAATAAAGGATGGAGCAGTGTGCCTTAGAAATAAAAAAACTGAAGCTACAGTGAATGCTAGCTCAAGTTAGGGAACCAGATTGTCATTGGAACAGGAAGTGTTTGGACGAGTACTGTATTAAATCACAAAGGACCAGGTATATAGTCTTCAAAAATTAAAGTTTTCTGTGTACAAAATGTTCCATATTATGATGTAGTTGTGTGTCAGGAAGTGCAAATATGTAACACAAAAGACTGTCCGAATCAGAGGATCACAAAGCAAATACAGCTTTACTGTGTCTTTCAAGCTGGATGGAAAGTGATAAATCCTATTTAGAACAAGGGCTGTGCTCCTGACACTGAGTGGGCAGTTCATAAGTGAGTGACTATGGAAAGCAGGGGATACACAAGGACAGGAGCTTGCTACAAAGACTGAGTCTTACATTGGCTTTATGCAACTCAGGATATCTCACTGACATTTGTTTTTTGTTTTTTCCTTTTTCTCTAACAGTAGGTTTATTTTTAACTTTTTTTTTTTTTAAACTTTCTTCAGCTTTATGGTTCCATAATGTAATTTCTGAAGAGTTTGGAGTGGGAGTGAATATCTTTTGGAAGCACCTTCCATCGGAATACTATGACAAAACAGATACCTATGGCAACAAAGATCCTGTAGCAGCATCCAGAGCTATGCAGATTTTGGACAGAGCTTTGAAAACACTGGCTGAATTACCAGATGAATACAAGGACTTCTATGCACGCCAAATGGTCTTACGTATTCAAGACAAAGCCTACCGCAAGAACTCTGAGTAAAAAATGAATGGAATGTAGTAAAATTTAAAAATAAAAATCAGCTCAAGTATTTGAAAACTATAACAAGATATAAATATGTAAAGATGCTTTTTAAAAATAGGAAAGTATCAGGCTTGTGGTCTACAAGGAGATGCATATCTGATTTCTATGTGGTGCAGATTGAGAATGCTTAGTGGAGCCATTCTTTAGCTCTAAGATGTAACTAAAATTCATACTTAATAAAAAATATACTGAATCACTACATAAGGTCTACTAATGGAATGGCCTTCTTTAGTCTTTCCAGTGATTCAGTAGTGCCACCAAAAACTTGTTCACCCCACCCCCACCCCACTCTTTCAGCCACAGGATTGGCATTATTCTAGGTCTAGCTAGCCTCGTGGTCATGGGATGACTGCCAGTAGCAGCTGGGGCCTTGTGTGTCTTCATTTGTATGCAGTGGAGAAGTCTGGCTAGAGTCCACAGGCACGGTCTTCATGAAGCAGCTTTCCAGAGTCCCCTTAGTTTAACACTCAGAAATGGCTCGGCCCTGTCCATCAGGGAACCAATTGTCATCGCATGCTATAACATCACACAGGAGTGGGTGCTCTTTCTTGAGGCACAGGAAGTGTATGAAGAGCAGAATGGTTATGTTACAGGGTGCTTTGCATTATCAGGACTAAGAATAAGTAGATTTGTTGCTGTGATAGACCATGAGTTGACAAATGTCTCTTCTGATCCTGACTTTTCCTGCTATCCAAATGTCTGCCTCCTTTTAGTTAATAACAACTCTAAACTTATTGTTTTCCCATCAGATACTCCTCTAGTATTTCTTTTAGTTTTGTCAAATACTCTTTTAAAAGATGAAAAATCCCACTACTGTAATCTTTGAAGACAATAAACTGTGTTTTCTCTGTACCTAATCACACTCAGTGCCACTGAAAAACAACTTTCTTTTACTGAACATGTGCTGATCAATTTAATACATTTTAATTACAGAGGAAATATTTACTCTTGAAGGTAGAAACTCATTTACTGTTTAGAGTTGGCTTAATTTAACCCTGTTTAGAGTTAAATTAACCCTTTTTAGAGTTGGATTAATTTCAGGCATTGAAAGGAAATTATAGTAGACAAGAAAATGTATATAAAAATTGTGACTTTTCCTAGATATTCTTCAGACTGAAATTACTGAGATGAGCAACAGTTAAATGTTTATTGAGGAAAATGTTTTAATATGCTATTTAGGTCTAATTATCAGATTTTAAAAAAATCTTTACTTCTTAGCTTGAGCAAAGCACTTAATGATTTTTCTCTCAGAAAGGAAAAAGTTGGAAATCCTTAGTTTATACAGTAGTTAGCTTTGAATAAACTAAATCCAGTCACATAGAGGGCTGGGAACACACATGGGTAACTGGGTTCAGACCGAGCACCAAAAGAGAGGGTCACATCGAAAAGCTAGAATCAGAACCAAGTTGACCTAACAATACTTTTGTTTGGTAGCACAGAGGGAAACTGGAGGATCTATTTATTTTCTCAATCTTGAGAATAGAACTGCTACATTACAACACAGTACAAAAGCCAGTTAAGGAACAAGCACATAATGGCAGGTGATTGATTGTTACTCTGCATTTCTTCTCTAAGTCTTGTTAACTCTTGTATATCTGCGGCACTGCAGTGAATCCTTTTGAGACGTTTTGAATCTTAGTTTAAGGCCAAATGAATAAAATATACATTAACTAACTCATGGATTAAAAATATTTCATTGTTGAGTGAATGAATCTGAGGAATTATCTAATCAGCCTTGGTTGCATAGATGGTTCTCGTTAACCAAGCTGCTATAGAGACGGAATTACAGTACTAGTGACCATTAGTCATTAGACCCCATTCTTTCAGCTAATTCAGGACAACAAATTAGTTTTCTCCCAGCAAAACTTACCATAAACCGACATGGATGAAAATTGAAACTAACAGTCAATGAGAAGATGATGACGAAATATGATACTAAATATGAAACCGAGGACTCAGGCAGTTATATGAGTTGGCATAGAATTTGTCAAATTACATAAAAACCTCAATGCTGCCATTTGTATAATGTATGTTCTATGTGAATGCTTACATAGAATCAGCTCTTAGGTACACAACCAACCCAGGGACTGCAACTGCCTGAGATGAGGCTGAGTAGTCACAGGGGAGACAGAGCTGTAGCTTGATACATTTTGTGTTCCAAACACTATCAGCTTTTCATGACAATATGTCTTGGCATATCTGTGGAGTATTCCATAATTTCAGAATTATGAAATACCAAAGACAGTATAAAGCTAAATGTCCTTCCTTTATAGCAGCTATATGAACATTTGCATAGAACCTAGTAACACGGTTTATCTATCTCATGCCTGTAAAAAGTTAAATCTATGGAGTTGTGGAGTAGGAGAGGCGAAAGGCAGGTTGTGATAGAATTTGGACTTGGGGTAAGATGATCAGTCCTCACTTAGAAAGACAAATGGGATTGACATTGGAAGTAGGAGAAAAAAGTAACAGGACAGAGGGCCTCTGAAAGTCTCTACCTAGCATTGTATCAAAGCAGATGCTGAGACTCATAAACAAACCTTGGGCAGAGTGCAGGAAATCATGAAAGAAGGGGGAGTTAGTATGACCTGGAGAGGACAGGAGATCCACAGGACCAGCGGTCTTTTCTGAGACCATTCCTCCCACCAACGACCATGCATGGATATAACCTAGGATCCCTGCTTGGATGTAGCCCATGGCAGCTCAGAAACCAAATGGGTTTTCCTAGTAAGGGGAACATTTCTGACATGAACTCAGTGGCTGGCTCTTTGACCTCCCCTTCTCCCCCCAAGGAAGGAGCAGCCTTGCTAGGCCACAGAGGACATTGCAGCCAGTCCTGAAGAGACCTGATAAGCTAGGGTCAGATGGAAGGGGAGGAGGACCTCCCCTATCTATCAGTGGACTTAGAGAGGGGCAGAGAGGAGATGGGGAGGGGGGTTGGGAGGGAATGATGGAGGGGGCTACAGCTGGGATACAAAGTAAACTAATATAAAAAAAATGTAATTAAAAAAAAAGAAATTGGACTGTGCCAACTTTTTAAGGTTTCCTATAGGAACCCAACAAAAGAAGTTGTTATAATGCAGATGGTTATGGAACAATTAACAAGAGGTGTACTCAATGAAAAGGAAAGTTGCCAGGCATTGTGGTGCACACCTGTAATCCCTGCACTCGAAGACAGAGGCAGGTGAACTCTGTGAGTTCAAGACCAGCCTGGTCTAAAAGGAAGTCCTGAACAGCCAAGGCTATACAGAGAAACCCTGTCTCGAAAAACCAATAAATAAATAATAAATAAATAAATGGAAAGTTGTTCGCTGACAAAAGTACAGAGAAACCCTGTCTTGAAAAACCAATAAATAAATGAATAAATGTGAAGTTGTTCACTGAAAAAGACAGGAAAGTAAAAACAGACATGCAAAATGACAAGGTGAAGGCAGAGTTTTCCTTCCAAATGACCTGAATGAACAGACAAACACATCCAAATATTCCTGTGGATTATTTTTAATGTAATTATACATTCATGTTGCAGTGGTAACAGCGTTCACATTTGTAGGACCACTTCTCTCAGTGACTTTACAAAGGCACAATCAAGTAGGACACATGTTTACAAGAACAACTTTTAACAAAGCTTTTTAAACAGATGTGGGAATGGACCAATATGAAGTATTAAACAGAAATACCTATGTGTGGGTTAACACAATCATTTCCATTCCAGAGTATTTGTCTATTCAACACTGTCTCCAGAGGTGATGGCAGTTCTAGTGTCCATCGGATCAACATCCACTTTAACATAACAACTGGACATTCACGTGAGTGGAGAGATGAAGAACTTACTCAGACTTTTAAAATGAATTCTTAAAAATAAAACAGAAAGCCTCTTTCCACTTCAGTCAACCTTATGAAAACTAAAGCCCTCTGTATGGCCGTTCAGTAATGCAGCTATTTTCCATTATATGATTCATTTCAGGATTATTAAACAAATTGAAGGCAGCCATCTAATTACAGGGCTTAAAGTTAAGGAAATATGTAATAAGTTAGAAACCAGATGAGTTGTTTCTACAATGGGAAGTGCTGATCTCAAAAGAACAGATATTCAAAGAAAGTGGAACATAAAACTTCTTACAAAATGTACACTCATCAGTAGTTGATGGAATCATGTTCATTTTTAAATATCTGGGGTAAGAGTCCTTTATCATGAGTTGAGTATTTGGAATATATTTGTAGGCTGATTAAAATGTAATTTTGGGAGAAACCCAAAAAATTAACACTTTCCATATTGTTCAATAAATATTCTCTGGGCCCTTAAGATACTAATCATTTTCTTTTCGATCCCAAAGCAGCGTGATATTTACCTGCTTGGTTATTTCATGACCTACAAAGCTTTATTCATAAATAAAAAGTGCTTGACCACTTTTTATAACCACAGCTATGTTCCAATATTGTTTGAAATTCGTTAGATCTAGGTCTCTCAAAATCATTTATTTAGTAAAGAAAAATGGGCAGAAGGAAGCTTCACCCAAATTATGTAGCAGTGTTAAGCAAATTCAGTTTCTGGGCCAAAATTTAAATTATTTGTATCTTCAAACTTTCCTTTGTAACCTTTCTTATCTCAATGTAATTTTACATTTGGCCAAAGAAAGCTATTTTCTCTTGGCAGACAAAACCATGCTGCTGAAGAGACGCTGATTTAGGTCTGTGGAATCTGTCTCCCTTTGAGAGCACACTAACAGATAATTAAAAACTGTCAATTAAGAATTAAGTTGCAGTGCTTAGCGTAGTATCTTCTAAAAAAACCCAACTATATAATTCTGTGATCCTGGATATAAGGGAATAAATATATTTTGATTTAAAAAAACCAAACAGAACACTTGGTGGAACACTGACAATGAGACCAGGGGGTTACAAAACATGAGTCAGAATGTAGGGTACAGATGTCCCCCAATCTCCTAGAGCCTTGGACACACACAAGTGAAATGTTTCAAGGGCTGAAGGTTGTTATTACCAAAGCTAGTTTAAAACAGGTCTCAGAATGTCAGCTATTTCCAACACCAATTTTGTTAGCTTTTTAAAAAACTAACATCAAGCTTCTTTCATTTTAAAGGTCACAGAATTATCACAAACTACCCTTTTAGATTTCAAATTAATTCTAGTCCAATCAAAATTTAAAATTGCCCACATTCACAAGCAAGGAATCTTACTGTATTTGACACTCAGACTTTTGGAATGTGCATCTTCTTAGCCCACAAACTGATGATGCATCTAATTAATCTTGCATCTCATCATCCGTACTTATAACAAGGTACTTAAGTTCCATTAAGCAAGCACATTAGTAGTCTCAGAATACTTCATGAACCCTGAAGTGATTCTCTATGGAAGGCGTTTCTGTTGCAAAATGAATTTGGCTAGTCACCTGCATACCCAAATCCCTGAGGATCTGAACAAATTTTTTGTGCTCCTTTCCAATCCAGGATCTCATTGGATCATGTACTTGATAAGGTGTGACATGCGTGTGAACAGTAATCCCTGTTTGAGCAAATTCTTTCAGGACTTCTGGATATGTGATCCAAGTATTGCTTCCTCCAGAATGACCACCATCCAGCCAATACATTGTTCTTATGCTTTTGATGAAAGCATCTATGTTCTTGTCTTTCTTGGCCTCCTTCAACTCAAACAACAACTGATTCAAAACCACACAGCCTTTACTGAATCCAATCAAAGTAAACGATGCAGCATTCAATGATGGTAGAGCAAAGCTCATGGCAGACTCATCCACGTTTTCACAGGTCCTCTCCTTTTCTTCCTGGCCACCACTGCTAGCAGTAGAAGAGTTAGACTCGCAGTTAGATGCTTTACAATCCTTATTCCAAGCGCTCCTGTTCTTGGACAGCAAACCATTCTGACTTAAGTTAAAAGCATTAACTAATAACATATACAAATGCTTAAAGGCGCCAAAGTCCAGACTGTGTTCTGGTGCACCAAACATGTTGCTTTTCACAAAATTGTCATAGCAGCTGAATTTGTGCAAGTGCATTCGGGAACACTTTATTACCCAAATAGAACTATTGGGAAAACGGTGGGCTAAAATGGTGGCAATATTTTCTAGACTCCAATTTTCCCATTGATAATTCTCAGGATGACGAGTCATAATTTCATGGTAATTCTGAAAAGAAAGATGAAATGGTCATTAAATGTTTATTTACCTATAGCTTTACATTATTATTGAGACAGTTTTGATGACCTATGGTGAATATACTAAAAAAATAAAAATAAAAACCTATTATCACTTTTTGGCTATAAGATTATGAATGAAACACTTTGCTCTCAGCCAAAACTTCATTAAGAGATAAGATAATGAAATAAACTTACACTAAATTGAGAATTTCTGAATAAAACCACCTAGAAAGATAAATTTTAGCTTTACAAATTATAATTTTTATTTTGTTAGTACACATGTAATTAAGTTCCTTAATTCAACTGAAAATATAAATTTGCTTCATTATAGACCTTTTTGATGAACACATAATTTAAAAACATGTCTGATTCAGTGAGCTGTCATCCTGCATATCGAATAGAACCCATCACAGGTGTGGCAAATCTGCTAGCAACCTGCTATCCCAACTTCAGCTTCCTTGCCGCAAAGCTGCAATGGCATCACAGAAAATCATAGTATACATCTGTAACTGCATTCTAAAATGCCTAGAGGTAGAGAAGCTAGGCTTGAAACAGTCAGAATTTAAAGGTGTTGACAGACTACCAAATTGCCTTCCATAATTTTCTTTTTAATTTGTTCAGTTTCATAGACCTGGGATAGCTCAAATTTAGATAGCTCAAATTTAGTATTAAAAATTAGGATGATGTTGAAATTTAGTTCATTTACTTATTAATATTTAGATTTTTGCTCTTGTCTGTCTATAGCCTTTGCATTTTTGTATAGCTTTTATTTGTTTAGTTACATTCTACATAAGGTAATATATTTTTGTTTTGGTTGTATAATGCATTTTACTTTTATTTTTATTAATGGCAATGTTTGTTCTTTTTTGAGACAGGGTCTCACTGTATAGTCCAGGTTGTGATTCTCCTGTCTCAGCTCACTGGGAGCTCAGGTAATGAGAGTATTAGGAGGCTGGACATAATGAGGTAAGAACCTATTCACTTTATAACCATTTGCAGTTTGAATATTAAGTGATATGTACATTTTTTCTTATTGAAAAAATAGACTACAAAATCAAATCTACAAAGATATAAAGAAAAAGTCCTAAGTTCACCAGTATTAGAAATAATTAAAGTTTAGGTGGCTAACACTTCAGTGTTCTCTAGTATGCGTACATATGTAATTACATACATAAAAATATTCTTTCCTTCTCTATTAAGCAACCATAAACTTAGTTATAATTTCCCATTAATATATGATAAAAGGGCCTGGAGAAATGGCTCAATGGTTAAGAGCACTAGATGGTCTTTCAATGGACCCAGGTTCAAATCCCAGCACTCACATGGTAATTCACAACTGTCTGTAATTCCAGTTCTAGGGGATCTGACATTCTCACACAGACATACATGGAGGCAGAACAGCAATATAAATAAAATAAAATAGATTGTTTAAAATATGCTAAAAAGCATGACTCTATATCAATAAAATTTGCATAATAGTTTTTACACATCAGTAAAAGACCAATGGTAGTAACAGTAAAACCTGTACTAGAAATGTACAAGAATGCACTGATTTCCACACCATTAGTTAGCTTCAATGGTAATGGTTAAATTAACTGGAGAATTTAAAGAAATCCAGGTAGGATAAGATTATGCAATACTCTTAATTTAATTGCATATTTGCTTCCAAATAAAATCAAACATTTTTCTGTCTGCTGACAATTTTATTTTTATTTTATTTTATTTTACTTTTGTTAACTATGCTTGTGTCCTTTGATAATTTTCTCACTACCATGTTCAATTCCTTAACAGTTCTATTTAATTAACAGCGTTTCATATATGTCAATGAGTAGCTTGGTATGTATGTTTTAAATATATTCCAAGAAGATCTTAAGTTGGCTTTTTATGCATTTTGCCGTTACCTTCTGCACATCCAGGTTTATCATAAAATGACAGGAGTTTAGACGTGGGAAGGCTTGTCTGTGACTGTTGGTTATCGTGTTTAAACATTACCTCCTGTGTGCCAGCATGTGTGGAGGTCAAGATAACCTGCAAGAGCGGTTCTGTCCTCCCACCATGTGCATCTTGGGAACTGACCTCGGGTTTTCCAGTGTGGCAGCGAGCACCTTTACCCACTAAACCATCTTGCTGGATTTTTAAATGTTTGTTTCTTTGAGACAAGGCCTCATGTAACCTAGGCTGGCCTTGAACTCACTATATTGCTGAGACTAGCACTGTACTGCTTCTCCTGATTCCTTCTCCTTTCATTTTTATAAGCTAGGTATGGTAGCATATGCCTGCAATCTTTAGCATTTAGGAGGCTGCACCAAAAGGATTCAGAATTCAACAGCAGCCTGGCTATATATGGTGAAACCACTCAGAAATAATAAATAAGCAAACATATTATAATTGAGAACCCCAAAGTCCTGAAGCTATACAAATGCTTACATTAATTATTTAATGAACCCAAGCAATGCAGATTTTATGATTCTCAGTTTAGTTGTACCTCACAGAAGGTGCTATAAATCTAAACATCATTCCCACCCCCATCCTCCGACCCCCCTGTTAGGAAAGGGAATGTTAATACTGAGGAACCGAGCAGCAAAATGGAAACTGGGATTGTTACTGTTATATCAAAGCTCAGAGCCAAGAACACTGGACGAGCATTTCCACACCCTGAGATGAGGACCAGATGCCCCCATAGTCAAACTGATTCTGCAACCCAGGCTATTGACAGTAACTAACCTATTGAAAGGGGTTTTCTTCTTGGGAGTTTTCATCTTACTGGGGACAGAATACACTATGCTTGTGGGAGGTAAGGGATGGAGGCAAGGTCTCTCCTCTTCCAGGGACGGGCAACAATAGTATCTCTTGCAGAGATAAGGAGTACGGGGCCAAGTTAAATGCTTGCTGACCTGCAGAAACTTAGAGGTCCATCCCACATTGCACTGAACTTGGGTCAAAAGAATCTTTTTCAGAAAATGTCATGTTTGCAAGAGTTTAGAAACATTAGTGATAAGGATGTGAAGTAGATAGACTAAGAAAGAGGAGAGCTACTCTGGGCGAGAGCTACACATCCCTCAAAAATGCACCAAGGCGAAATCTCTACGGAGCCTGACTCAGCAGTGAGAAGGAAACTGAAGAGAACTACCTACGAAAGTGCTCAAAAGCCCAGAGAAAGACCAAGACATGACCCTTGTGGTGCTTTCCTCTCAGGAAAGCAAGATGTGCTGTCATATGGAATCCTAGCACCTGAGAGGACTCTGGCTCTTACTGGTGAGCATCATGGAAGCCTCTAGATGGTTTGGGAGACCTTCACTTTAAGCCACTGTGCCATCATTTTAGACGCACAGAGAGGCGGAGACGCTGCATGTAGCTGGATGAGAGGTGAGGTATGAAAGACACCTATAGGAACTCAGATCTCTAAGTCAAGTGACTAAATAGGTATTTTCATTAACGTGGATGAGGAAGGCTGCTTAGGAGTAAATAGATTTTTAGTTTTAGAAGGCTGCTGAATAGCCAAAGAAGTAATGAGCAGGCAAGGTGAATCCTTAGACATCCATCTTATGTCTATACTACATAAATGTCAAGGGTCATCAGGGCATAGATAGTATGTAAAGCCACAAGATGGAAAGAGATCACCCAAAGAGCAAAGAAAAAAGTCCAACAATGGAGCACCAGCACACTAGAAAGTGAGAAGGGGCTGGAACTCACTGAGTTATTCCTGTATTTAACCTTGATTGATGCCCTTTCAACTATTAGCCCCATTTTATATCTGAGGTACTTCAATAGGAAGATTGAACATCTGCACAAATTTCATAGAGTAAAAGTACAAAATGGAGTGTTAAATCTAGGCAATTTGACCTTGAAGGTTTGTATGCACTTCCTTCCATTTCTTTTCCAGAAGACCTAGTACTCTATAAAACTCTACACTTGGCACAAATTACTGCTCTCTTGCTGTCCAAAAAGCTAATGGAATAGATGTCAGTGAAAGGAAAGACGATACCCAAACTATATCGATAGCACTTTCAGCCCCTGGTGAAGACAGGTCTGTGTGGCACACTTTTACAGCGGAAAGTTCTCTGCTGCCACACCACCACCGCTGGAAGATGTGAAGGAGATGGTCCCAAGTCTCTCAGTTAGTGTCAGGCTTGTTTTCCATCTGGGTACAACTACGGCACCAAGTGAGGAGATTTTCTTGAATTTTTTTTTTCCAGTTTCCATTAGCGGTCAGCTAATCAAGTCACCTAACTGGATTGCGAGCAAGAGAAAATACTACGTATCACTATGATTTTTAAGTATATCCTTTTAGAGTGCCAATTTCAGAGCAACGAACTGATAGTTTCCTAGCATGAGGAAAACATCTAGCTACATTCTAACTTGCATGACTACCCTAGCGCTAACAGACCGTTCTGGGATGACTGATTTTCTACAAAAGTGCTGTCTGTCTCTGAGCTGTCTGACAGGGTATACACAAGTCACCTATGGTGGTGGCAGCTCACCACTTTGGCAACACAACCAGCGAGAAAGAGAACCCTGCCTTTTCACATTAACTCAGATACTCTCGCGTGGCTAATGTATCCATTACGGGATGCAGTTTTAGATTAAGACACAGCTGCCAGGACAGCTTCAGCGCGGGCGTTTGTCTGCGGCTATAAAAACAGTAAAACGGAGCACACGGCTGTGCTCTACTCAAACGGGCCTCAGTACCACGAACATTCCCTGCAACTGCAGTCCGTCCAGTACGGTGTTTCGGGGTTCCCGGAAAGGTCACACGTTAGCAAGGGATGTATTTTAGCTAGTCAGCGTTTTCTCAACAGAGTCCTGTGAGACCAGGCTGGGGCTGTGCATGCGTGTCCCGTTCCCCTTCGTGCCTCTCCTTCCACCCAGCAACACCTTGATTGACAGACAGCTGCCCTGCGGAGACGGCGGCCACCCAAGGCCCCTTCCCCGGGCGGGGCTCTGGCAGTAACGCGAGCGCCCCTCACCCCCCGAGGGAGAACCCGCGTGGGCGTGTCGGGGAGGCCGACCCCGCGTTACCTGCACGTCCCCGGGGAAGTAGAGGACGTGGTGCCGCGGCTCCGCGGCGGCTCCTTCCCCGGCCATCAGCAGGAGCAGCTCGTTGCGGCGCTGCGGGTCGGAGCCCGGCACGGTGGTGCGCAGCAAACGGTGGCTGTCCTCCGGGGAGCCCCGCGCGCAGCCTCCCGGGTTCATGGCTCGGGCCTGCGGGCGAGACGCGGAGTCTCCGGAGGCGAGCAGCGGCCGCAGGAGCAGCAGCACCAGCGCCGGGGACCGCGGCCGCCAGAACCCCTTCATGGGGTCCAGCCGCGAGGGCCGCGCACCGGGCGGCGAGGGCGGGGCCTCGGTTTCCAACGGCCCTGGATCGCCGCTGACGTCAGCGCGCAGCGTGCGTCAGGAGGGAGGGGGCGAGCGGAAGGCGCGGCCCGAGGAAGGACGTCTGCGGTTGGCGGACTCGGCCTAGGCCGGGAAGTTCGAACGGAAGTCTGAGAGCCCGGGGACTAGCTTGGGCGGCAGTTTGCGCCCTTGCACAGTGCAGTCCCTGCGCAGCGTCGTGCTTTCACCTGGTTTTGTAGCAAAGCTTCGGTGGGTTCATCTTCACGGCGAGGTTTATCCAGTCGGAGACAAAGCAGAGTAATTCAGGAGGGCTTGTGCTTGGCCTGAACGGAAGGAATCTCCTTTCTCCTGAGCTTACCCAATTAGGGAATTCTTGGTTCCACATCAAATCTAGAGCATGTCTAGTTGGTAGAGAGAGCAGGGCACATGGCCTAGAGAAGATGGAGGACCGCCCTACTTGTTCGCACGTTTACTGTAGACGGTGTTTACAGCTTATAAAATTTTCCATGTAGGGTTTTCAAACCAGTTTGAAAAGTATAGAAAAATCATGAGGATAGCAACTTATGTCTGGTTGTGTAGGAATAGGATGGGGACAAATTTATGCTAAAGGTGGAGAAAATAAACGTTAATTTAACATTGTGTATGTGTGTGCATACTGCGGACACGCTCTTGCGTTTGTTTGCTGGTGTAGGCTTGATGTGGACTTTGCATGTGGTGAACGAGATCCCTGGAAAAAGGCAAAACCTGAAGTTTGTGCAGGAGTGAGGAACTGATTAGAACTTCAGTGGTTGGGGCAGAATTATAATGTTGCAAGTCCAGAGCCTACTTATACTGAGCTATCTTTAACCCCTTTACTTAATACCTTTCCTAGTCAACCTGTGTGCCTGAACAGACTGCATCCTAGTGAATATCAGATGAAACCTTTGAAATGTATTAACTTAGCTTCCTTCATTCCAGAAGCTAAGAATGTTATCAGATCACATCTGGGGCCTATAGTAGAGTTTCTTCCATTTGCTATTTCCATCAATGTATTTGAAAGGTCTTTAATTTATATAATTTATTTTAGTACTATAAAACATTAGCTCACTCCTATTTGGTTCACCTTTGAGGTGAACGCATTTTCTTATGTCAACAGTATATTTCTCACTCTCCATTTTTATTTTTTTTTTTTATTTATTGATTTACTCTTTGACAGCATCTTGTTGAACCTGGAGCTCATGATTTAGGCTAGACAGGGGTAGCCAAGAAGCCCCCTGGATTTGCCCATTTCTGCCTTCCCAGCTCTGGGATTACAGATATAGGTTGCTGGGCTCTTCGTATTTTGTGGATGCTGAGGATCCAATTCAGGCTCTGATGCTTTGAGGAAAGAGGCAGACACCTTACCAAACAAGCCATATCCCCAGCCTTATTCTAACTTAAAAATTCTTGCAAGTTTTAGCAAGTAATAAAATATAATTGCTTTATACTTTCTTAGTGGCTTCATAGAGGGCTAATTGCCAGTGTACTTTGCCATAAGCTATTGGATTCCATCTGATAGAATAAATCTAAGTTGTTAGATTATTGACTTATATGTGAATACTTAGTCCCCAGTTTGTGGACTGTTTGAGAAGGATTATGCTGTGGACTTGCTGGAGGTGGTTTTGAGATGGTTTTGAGGTTTCTGAAGCCCACACCATTCTCAGTTTGCCCTCCGCTGAGGATCAAGATGTAAATTCTCAGCTACTATACTAACAGCATGCCTGCCTGCTGCCATGATCCCTGCCATGATGGTCATAGAATCTAACCCTCTAGAGCCTCGAGCCCCAAATTAAATGCTTTTTTATAAGTTGCCTTAGTCATGGTATTTTATCACAGCAATAGAAAGGTAAGATAGAAACCAAGAAGAGATTATTTCATTCCTACCACAAAGTAGATCGATTGTTTTATTAAAATAACTAGTTAAGACATAGAGGTTAATTGAACAATAATCGGTATATAATCACAACCATGAAGCCGGTCTTCTTTTTTGTTTTGCAAATCACATTTAACTTTCACTAAGCCAGGACTATTGTTAAACTGTAGTCTGCAAGTCTACAGATAGATATTGCTAATGTAGCTTTTGATTCTTGCCATTTTGTTTTTCAGGTTGACCGATGGAATAATCATATGTTGGAGGGAACAGGAAGTACTTGTGTTTAGAAAGAAGGTTAATTTAGCAAACACTAAATATTTCAAAGTAATCTCTATTTCTAAAATAATTGAGGTCTTTGGGAAATACAAAGGAAGAGCTGAAGAGCAAAGAAACTGAAGTAAGTAGAACTACCCGCTCTATAGTCAAAGATTTCCTAAACCCTACAGGAGATGTTTTTCTGGGAAAGTAGCCGCTCTCTCTTAGTTCCTCATTAGAGGTATGTGTGTTGTTTATATGCTATGTCATAGACTTTGAAGTTACTTCTTATGTGTCTCCTTGTTGTTACTGTACTATTTTCTTTCATCTCCTCCATCTTCTCCCACAAAATCAGTGGTGCTAATTCTGATTTTCCTACAATCATCCATACAAACGGACTCTACGTTCTTTTATTCTTTCTCAGAACTAGACTTTCGATCTTATAAGAACAAAGTTCTCTCCTCAGTTGAGTGAATTATTCTCTTTCTAGCTACTTGGTGATCTTCAGTAGGCATTTTATTATTTGTAATGTGCAAACTGCTACAGCCCATGTCTGGCTTTTTCTCATTTCTCAGTGTTCTAAGGAGTCCTCAGAACTTCTGTTATGCTACTCAATATAATAAAAGAAAATTTAAACTTTTAGAAGGAATCTGAGAAAGACTACCTTGTATAGAACAATATTGAGAGCACGGACCCAGATACCAACAGAAGCCATATGTGGTTATCAGTAGTAAATCTGGCCATGTCTCATGCAACAGGAAGTGGTGAAAACCTAAAGGGATGTGTCACCATTAAAGAAGAATATCTTTCTTCTTTATGAGTCAGCTAGATGATGAAGGCAATGCATTTCAAGTTTTTAACTGGAGAAATAAGATACACAGATGCTTATCACTTGCTAACCTATAAATCTTGAAATTTAATAAAACTTACTTTGTATCAAATTAAATATAGGAACAGATCAGATTTGGCCAGTAGGCTACAAATATTCAACTTCTCTGCTAAAAGATTTCAAATGGATATGTAAGGCCAGGCGATGGAGAAAAAGAGACAAGATCTTTAAATGTGGCTTCCTCTGAGAGACAGAGAAGGAAAAATTGGGGAACGTAAACCAATGGGATTTAACTAAATTCCAGTTGATGTTCTACAAAATACTTATTTTTTTTTCAATTACCCTTTCTTTTGAATGGTGGTGGTGGTGGTGATGTTTCTTTCTCTCTCTCTCTGTGTGTGTGTGTGTGTGTGTGTGTGTGTGTGTGTGTGATAAAAAGCCACTATGCTGAAACTAGACCTTGAGAAAGACAGTAAGTGAAATATACTACTGTAGCATATGCATTTGCCCCAAACATTCTAGAAGAAGTAAAGTTAGAGAATGAGCCCATTTAGGGATGTGGAAGCTTATTTTGGCAAGTTTCACTAGCTAAAATTGTATATTTTACACCTTGCTTTCCTCTAGCATGAGCTGAACACACAGTTTAGCAAAACACAAATCATGCATATCAAGATTATATAGATTAGCACTCAGTGAAACCTCCTACATAACGGGTAACCAACAGCATTTGCATATATTAGCCTTTACTTGCTGTTAAAGGATAAGAAAAATCTAATCAATTAAAAACTTAGTTGTCAACAAAATACTATCATGAGGTGAAATCCAATGATCTGTAAAGAGAGTTCTGCATCATAATCAAATGGGATTTATAGCTAGGCATGATGGCACACACCTGTAATCCCAGTGCCCAGGAAGCTGAGGAAGGAAGATTATGAGTTTGAGGCCAGCCAGGCTATAAAGTAGGACCCTGTCTCAAGAGAGCAGAAACAAAAAGACTGCTTCCTAGGTTCCTGAGATTTATTCCAGAAATCTAAAATTGGTTTTACAACTGAAAACCAGCATTCTATGCCATATGAATATCATAAAAGTAAAAATACCATAGACATCTTAATTGACACACAGAAAATATTAGCAAAAAGTAGCATACTTTCATGATGAAAACCATTCAACAAACTAGGGCTAGAAGAGAATTTCCTCAGTGTAATAAAAGTCATTATGAAAATCCTACAACTAATGTAATAATTCATGGTTCAAAGATTGAGTATTTTCACTCTAAGAACAGAACAAGATAAAATGCCTGTTCTTTCAACTTCTAATCAGTATTGTGCTAGAAGTTTTAGCCAGAACAGTAAGAAAAGAAAAAAGGCATCCAGACTGAAAAGGAATACATAAATCTGTGCAGATGCTTTGATACTGTATATGAACCTACTGAACCTACTAAAAATAATAAATGAGTTGACCAATGTTGCAAAATCAATATATAAGACTCAAGTGTTTTTCAGTTCACTGGTAATGGAAACCCCAAAAATAAAGTAATAAAAATTGTATTTATTCTAGTAAAAATATATTTATGAATACATTTAATGAAAGAACTATAGAATGTGCATGCTACAAAGCTATATAAAAATCAAAGAAAATATAAAGAGAAAGTAATGCAATGTCCATCAGCCAGAAAATGTTATAGTGTTAAAGCTGCTACTTCTTTCAAAATTAATCTCTTAGTTCATGGCAACCCACATTAGAATATCATCAGCTTTATTTTACTTTTCCTAAGATACACATTAAAGGCTAGGAATTCAAAATCCATTTCCAAACTGCAGTGCTGTGTTGATCAAAGTGGTGTCTACAGTAATAATGGTGGAAACACATAACAGTAAAATGGAATTCAAAGTCTAGAAACCAACCTTACATCAATAGTTAACTCATTTTCAACAAAGGTGGCAAGATAATGCAGTGTGTAAGAAAAAAATTTTTTTTAATGACTGGTGTTGGGACACCTGAACAGACACATGCAAAATAGGAAAGTCCT